CACACACACACACACACACACACACACACACACACACACACAGTGTGTAATCTCAGGGTAGGTGTTTATCTAAGTAAACATATGGAATCACTAAACCGCTCACACAGGCCGGCAGACAAAGTCAAACACCTCAAAACACAGTCAAACCTGCAATCAAGCAAACAGACACACATAAACACTCAACGCTTAAACCAACCCCAACCAATGTGGTGCATCTGGTTTACAGCATCCTCTCCTCAAGAAAAAAAAAGAAAAGAAAATGAAAAAAAAACTATTACAGCATGCTCAGTCAGGGCCAAAGTAGTGCCTTCAACGATGGAAAGCAAACAACGACTTCTTTTAGTGAGAAAAAAACTAAAACCCTGCAGCAGCATAGTTTTCATGTTGTAAAAAAGGTACCAGTCTGATGCTAAAACAACCTAGTGGGTCCGAGTCAGCTCAAGTTGTTTCCGCTGTGGAGCAGATTGTTGTGCTCAGTCAGGAGCGACCAGGAATGCAGCTGAGACAAGTATTAGAGAATGCTGTTCATTAGTCAGGAACAAAAAAAATAATAAAAAGTTTTCACAAGCTGCAGATGTTTAAAGAGTGGAGGTCGTGGCTGGAGCTGAGTCATCCGTTAAAGAGCTTTCTGCTGACCTCTCCGACAATAACCAGGTCTGAGGAGCATTAAGGAGCCTGATTAGGGCTACTTAAGGATGGACCCATGGATGAATGAACCGAGGAGAGAGGGTGGGGGAGTTGCAGGATGAAAGCGGGCCTTCCTTGCTCATCCTGAAGTGTCGGGCTCTAAGTGTTTCATCACACACCTTTGGTTTACTGAGCGCTTCAGCAGCCACATCAGAAGAGCCCCGCGTCGCTCGCTTCAATTGGTTTTTTTTTCCAAGCTTCGGGGCTCAATCACATTAAAAAGATTAACTCCATTCGGAGGAGACCTTATTATTAGTATCATACTCCAACAATGTTATGTTATGACCCGGGGAGTTTTTATTTGAAGTCTCAGACAGTTGCACACACATGTGGCGCCTCTCACCTTACGAAGCCGCCCGTTGCTGGTTCCCAGGAAAACAACGGTGTGGTCGTGCACGCTGTCCACCGCCACTGAGCTGAGGCCCGGCCATTCGAGCAGAGGAACGGCCCTGAGGGGCCTCCGTATGGCCAGGGGGTGCTGCAGGTGGGCTGCGCCGCAGTCCAGATGCTCGGACTGCAACTGGAACACAAACCAAAAAAAGAGATTGATTCTTGTCACTCACAGGTTAGAAGAGAGGACAGCGAAGACAGGGCGAGCACCAAGTGTTTTAATGTGTCAAGAAAACAAGTAGCTACTTCGGGGACAGAAGCTATCACTCCGCCACTGCTCATTCTTCTAAATTACTTTTTAGGCATGTCAGTGAACACTTGAATAGGGATTACAATGGTCTTCAACCCTCATAAGACTTTGCTTTTGTCAAATCCTCGGCGAGCAGCACTAAAACATTAGTGCCACGCTTGGCTGAGCACCAGCATCTACTGGGAATTCTCTGAATATTTTACAGCACATACAATCAAAAAAGAAAGAACGAAAAAAAAAAAGAGAAAGAATTAGGCATAGTGGATATTTGTAGAGTCGTTTCCCACGAGCCCTTCTGCTCAGGGCCTCATCTTTCTTATCACAAATTGTGTCTGGCTTTCCCTCAGTGCTGGCCTTCAAACCGTCAGCTAGAAAAAGAATCACGTGTGCACCGCAGCTAAACGGGAAAACCAAAGAGACAAACTTTTCCTTGTGAGTGGCGGAGCGAGTGTTAGAACATCAAGCATAGACAAAAGGGGGTGGTGGGGATCACTTTCAACTTAGAAGCCTGTTTTAGTATGGCCTGCGGGCCAATTGGGAATCAGAGATCTGGTCATGGGGAGAGCCGCCCTGAGGACACAAAGCACCAAGGCCAGCTCCAACAGGGAGGACAGTGGCAGGACAGCGTCCTATGACCCCCTGGTCAGTTAGGACCAGCCGGATGGAAATGAAGCTTACTTCATCATCAAACAGCAGTCATGCAGAGTGCAGCATTAAACTTCCCCTTAAGAGAAATAACTAGTCTGGTATGTGTCTGGATACACAAGATAACATCTGACCACGGGACAAAAACAAAGCAGCCATTTGTCCCATGTCATTGTGCCAAATGTGTGGTGGAGTTATAGTTAGCAGCAGAAATTCAATAAACATGTAGGTCAAATAAGAACTATTAACCCTTCATACTAAATATTTGATAAAGAAGGAGTTGGGGATGAGCATCGTTCCCACAACTTTTCCAAGTCGATCTGGAGGATCTTTGCAGCTCTAAAAAGGATCAGAGTTGTGAGCCCTCAGGGCTGCAGAGGGTCAGTTTTTGAAGGGACTGAGACAGAGATAGTGGTCTGTATTGTAGTCTGAACAACTGTGTCTCTTTGAGTTACATTTAGACATAAACGGCACTTGACTCTTGACTCTCAACTTTAATACCAATAAAATACTGATGTTTGAGAAATAAAAGGAATTAGTCAACATTTAGGGACCAGTCCAGTTTGATAAAATGAGCTTATTCTATCCCAGAGGTCTTTAAACATTTTCTTCATGACCCACTATCCTGTTCAGATGTTCCCCAAGCTTCAACACCTGACTGAAATGAGTGAGTGATTGACAGGTTTCTGCTAAACTTCATGACGTTCTGAGAGGATAATTGAATGATTTGAATCAGGTGTGATGAAGCAACAACTGAATGCAGGACAGTGGGGAACAGGGTTGAAGACCTCTGTTCTGACCGAATTGAAAAACACATGTTTAAAGACTAGACTCACCACCAGGTTATCCTTCTGGATGCAGGCGGCCCCAGAGCCCTGGATGACGCTGTCCAGCACCTGCACGTCGCTGCTGGGGGAGTTGGAGCAGTTTCTGCGGCCCTGACGGATCTCCTCCTCGATGTCCCCGAACCTAAACGCGCACAGGGCCGACGTTCTGTCCGCCTTGGAGAACACCCCGAACAGGTAGGGCTCCGGGCCCCTCGCGCCCCCCGGCACGCGGACCTCTGCGGGGTAGACGGACAGCAGCCGGTTGTAGACGTTCCCGCTGAGCCCACACTGCAGGGGCATCTGGATGTAGGACTCGGTGAGCTTCCTGCTCTCCGGCCCGGTGGGCTTTCGGGGACTCTCGGTATCCAGACAGATCCTGGACAGGATGCTGCTGGGCTGGTTCTCCTTTCGGTCCGTTATGGCGTCGTTGTTGAAGGCAATGTAGGAGTAAGTCTTCTGGATGAAGGCGTGCACGAAGTTGAGCTTGTTTTTAGTTTTGACCTCCTGCTTGATCTTGAACACGTTGTCCTCCGAGGGGTTGATGTCGTAGGTGAAGAGTCTGGACAGGTCCTTGACGTTCAGGGAGCGGATGGCGATCTCCGGGGTGTTCTCGAAGCGCAGGTCCTCCTTGCTGTGGTTCTTGGGGAAGAACTGGGTCCCAGCCCCCGTGTACGTGGCCCCCACCAGAAGCCGGGTGTTCCCCTCGTGGCTCTTGAAGATGAGCCCCACCGTGGACGCGTTCGGGTGGTTGGCGGCGATGTTGAGCATGCTGGGGAAAACCGTCCTCTCGCCCTGCGGCGGGAACTCCACCGCGATCTCCGAAATGTTCCCCATCCTTCTCAGCTCACAGAAGCCCTGATAGACGGACCCGCAGACCACCACCACCCCCTGGTCCCGGTCGAGCTTCAGCAGCTTGTTGTGGTTGTCCGTGAGGGACTTGGGATGCTCGCACGGAGCCTGGGGCAGCTGCGGCGCATGGCACAACAGGTTGTCCTCCACCGGCCCCGTCCTCTTCTCCACCTCCACGCTCAAGGTCCCGTTGAGCTGGTAAATCGTGTTCACCGTGGCCAGGTAGACCTTCCTGGACACCGGGTCCACCGCGAAGTTATTGGTGCGGTTTGGAGACGCGTACGCCTGTTGGATGTGCAGCGCGCTGGCGCTCCGGCGCGTCTCCAAAGCCAGGACGCCGAGGAGCAGGACGGCTATCTCCATGGAAGAAGGAGGCATTCTTCCTTCTGACCGGCTTCCGCGTGTTCTGTGCCGAGGGGTGCATTGAGCAAAGACAAAAATGTTGTGTTTGTTCCTGTATCGGCGACAATCCAAGAGGAAAAGGCTGTTTCCTGCTCAACGCCTGAACCCAGAATGACGCGATAAGCAAGTCGTGCTTCCTCTTTTCAGGCTGCCTCCTCTTGCCTCTGTCCCTCTCTGCAGCTCAGCGGTCCCTCTCCTGAGACACAGCGAGCCACATGTTCAGTCTCTAAGCTTCTCAAAACATATATAAATGTAAATGCGCACCTAGAGTTAGATTTATTTTAGTGTGCGCAATTTTAGGAGATTGCCGTGAATGAGCATATAATAAAACTTTATTTGCAGTCATGCGATGTTTGGATATTGATTGATGAAGGAATTAATAATAATAAAAATACTAATGTGAGAAAAAGCCGATTTCCCTGAGAGGATGGGTGTCATCTCATTAGCCCTGACTAATGGCGCTGCCTCCCTCATCTGACATGTGTCCCATGAGCGCTCTCTGCCTGCTCTGATTAATTGGTTTTCTGTTACTTTTTTTATTTATTTATTTCGTTTTGTCAACTTTAAACGTATTTAGTCCCAACTCTCTATTTAAAGATGAATAAAAGCACCCCACATCATAACTATAAACCATCTGAGTGAGTGCTCTTTTAAGATGAGAGGGTCTCCACCCCGGGTGATGTGGTTCCGCTCATCTTGAGGTTAACATTGGGGGTTGGGGGGGGGGGGGTCACCAGCCCACCTTCTGGGCTCTCCAGTCCTCGGATTAGTTCTGCAGATCCGCGGGGTTCCGTTCTGGACACATACGGCACGGTAAGAAGCGTGAAAGTGCAACCAGATGGACGCGTAAGCGCGCGCGCGAACACACACCTTTCCGGGGCTTTTGACATTCAGCACAGTTTTCATTCAAGTCATAAATATTCAAGCTTGACACGTGCCCCCCCCCCCCACACACACACACACACCTAAAATAAATAAATAAATAAATGCACGAATATGGTTTGCATGTTTTGGACCCTGGGTGTGTGCGCGCATATGCTCCCTCATGTCTCCGAGCAGAAAAGGGATGAATCTTTTAGTTGTGGAGCGACAAGCCCAGAGTGTGTCAGGCACGCTGCATAAATCAGCTCACAGAAGTGTTATCTCAGAATACATGCAATAATTAAAGTTGATGCTAAATCGCTTGGAATCGCCTGCGCGGCATGTGCCAATTTACTGTGGACTCCTCTGGGGACCGGGCCCGCGCGCTCTCTCCCTCTCTCTCCCTCTCTCTCCTCTCCCCGGCTCCCTCCGGTCACCACTTGCAGCTTTCAGCCGCCGCGCTGATAAGTGTAACCGCGCGTGTTTACCTTGGCGCATGGCCATGCGCATCAAATCTGGCAGGGGAAAGTGATAAAGTGCAACAACCCCCCCTAAATAAATAAATAAATAAATAAATAAATAAATAAATAAATAAATAAATAAATAAATAAATAAATAAAGCAGGGCGTGAGGAGGTACTGAGTGTGGATCAGGTGTGTCAGCATCACACATTCACGGAGAGGCGTGAAAAAGCAAGGAAGAAGTTTTTTTTTTCTAAACGGTCTACACTGACTAACTTCGAGCACTAAAATCCTTCCACCCAGCCTGTTTCCTCCCTGATAAGGAGTGACACCTATTTGTGGCACTCCTTATCACCCCCTCCCTCCTCTCCTCTCATTCAGCGCACAGAAACTAGCGCCACCCGAGGTGAAAGAGCTCCATCTAGTGGCCGCTTTAAAAAACTGCAGCAGCGCTCAACAGAATAAAGGTCTACAACTCAAGGAGTCCTTGAAGGAATGCATATCACCCGCTGACTTTCATTGTAGAGATTAAGGCTAAGATCAGCTTTTACTGAGGATTTATTGAATTTCAGATATTTTGGTCAAACACTGAAAATAATCATATAGCCAGATGTCACAAGTATGTGTTGACTCTCAACCACAACATGTTTTAGGACAATATCTGTAAAACCGACGGAATTAGAGACATTTTTTTGTTTTATAAGGTTAGTTGAATGTGGTGGCCATCTTGGATTGGCTTAACTGAGTTAATTAGCTGTGAGTGTACATCCAGTGATTAGAATGTCTTCCACCCCATGCATGAAGCTGTGACTGAACTGGAGAGCTCCTTCAAGTGACAGACTGCTGCATCCGAGGTGCACAAAGGAGCATTATCACAGATCCTTCCTCCCAACAGCTGTCAGACTTTATAACCAGCACCAGGCCCAAAAATCACGATAAGTGTTAAAAATCACAGCGTTTACACACCTGCTGCTGCACAATCATTTGCACTGTTACTATTCATTGTTATTACTCAACTGAAAAATCATTTGCACTACTCTGCTGTAATTGCACATCTGTGTTTCTTGTCTGCATTGTGATACTTCACTTTACAGTTATTGGTCTGTTGAGATTGCTTTGCACTGAAAACAGGCAATTTCTGATTCTGATAGTCTACCGTCTCTAAAACAAAACATATCGTTTTCTATTCTTGCACAATTTTTTTATATTATATTTTTATTATTAGTACCATAGTCATTTCATGGCTAGTCAGTGTAAGCACATTTTGTGTTCACCATCTATAGTTTGTAAAGTAAGTAGTGTGTGAAACTCTGTACTGATGCTGCTGTGACACCTGAATTTCCCCTCGGCGGGACAATAAAGGCTATTTCTATTTTAGTTTGCAAATCTCTTTAAAAATGTTCCAGTGGTTCATATTTTGATAAGAACGCATGGATAGACACATACAAGACATTGATAAACGGTGCTGTCTGCCTTTGCTTTTTGACAACAGGTGATAATTAAGGCAGTGGCGGTGCAGAGGTTAGAAAAGAGCATTTCATAAATGTGGGTGGTAAGCCCTCATTTGCCCCACTCTGGGTCCTTGAACTATCCCCAGATGCTTCCCACACACCTGATGGCAGCCCACAATGGGGAAAAAAAATACAGAAATAATTTGTGCACACGTTGAAGATGAGTTAAAAAAGAAACAATGGTGAAACACTACTTAGTTGGGAATGCACTTTATTTATTCCACACTTAGAAAAGGACATCAGAAGGCACTGAAGTGGTTTAGCACACAACCCTACATTACAGGTGTTACTGAAAGGACATGCAAGGTTCAGTCAGCTTAATGTCAACTTGCCTCCTGTACTCGTCAAATACAGTTTTTACTTCCTGCTTGACTTGAGCAGAGTCAAGTTTACTCCCATTGTGACCAAAAACAGTTCCAACCTCTTCTGTGTTAGTTCAGTTGTTTACACAAAGATGATCCTGACCTGAGTCAACTCTTCCTCCTGACCCGCGATGAGGGCAGACTCCCAAAGAGTGACCATCTTTGTAGTCCCTATCAAAGCTTTTCTTCTCAGTCTGACCTATATGTCGTCATGCTAAAGTGCAGCTGTACAGTTTAAATGGCCGAGCGATCAATCAGCTTCTAGGCATGAAATACAGAGTGGACTAATCGATGTGCCCTTGACTGGATCAAATCAACTGGGTAAAAGTATGACAAAGGCCATTTGCCAAGCCAGTGAATTGGACTCAACGATGACAAGGTGCAAAAAATAAAAAAAAAAGAAAGAAAACAACTGAACATTTGAATTAAGGTCATGTGCAGTGAACAGCTTTCTTCAATTTCAAAAACTACATCTCCCAACAAGAGCTTTCATGTCCCGCAAACATACATTCACAAAGTGAGTGGAAAGAAGAGCAACGCTTTCTTTCTCCACCGTCAGACGTCCCTGTTTTTTAAAGTTTGGCACTGAGTGGTTACAGCTTCAGACAGAGGGTTCAGGACAACCATAAAGATAATACGAGGAGAGAATGTGCTCCAACAGTATCGCATAACAAGCAGTGTGCATCTGCGAGGCAGTGGAAACGACTTGCACCGTAGATATGAAGCAGCGTGATCCCTGATCCCACTGAGGCGGAGCTGGACCAGCTACCAGCGGTCTCCTTTTCCCTAAATTGATCACATCAAATATGGCGGGTCGGAGGCAATTATCCAGGCAAATTGATTTTACATGGACAATAGCGCTTTGTCATTGCTTTTAAAAGCAGAATTGGTTTGTGTGTAATTTTCTTAATGACAGCATGCAGCACCGCGGACATGTTTCAAACATGGCAGATGCCTGACAATGACCAGATGCTCTCAGTCTTTTTGCTCCTTTTGTTACGGTGAGCAGCATGTCATTGGCTTTCCGCTTCTTAGATCATCTGTCATTCATAATCTGCACAAACCAATGTTTTTTCTATTTTTTTTTTACATGAAAGATGAATTAATTAAAAGCAACCAATCTTTGCTATTAGAAAAGCTAAGGAAGCACAACATCTTTATGATGCACAGAAGTCATGGTCAGTCCTTCAAACAGTTCTCTTTCTGAACAAATTCATCACAGCAAGAAAAGGAGCAAGTCCCAGGTAAGTTTTTAGCAAAGGTTCAAATCTACCAATAACAAACCGGTAAAAGTTCTCTTCCTAAAACCAATCAAGCCCATTCTCACATTTGCACGTCTCTAAAATTAGACTGGACTTTTGTGGGGGTGAGTCGCCAGCCCAGTTTCCTGACTAACCTCCCCTCCATGTAGAGAGGAGCATAATGCTACATGGTACTGAATAAAATAACATTTAAAAATAATAATATTATTAGAAATAACATAATAATTGATTCAACTCTAAAAAGATAAAAAACAGTACAAGGCTGCATCCTGCGAGGGACACCACCGCATCATTAAAATAAATGTAAACAGTCTTTTCCTTCCTAAACGAGTGTTCTTTACTCCACTCCAGTTTTGTTTTCCCCCTCTTTATTTTGATTTCAGGCTGCGTCTGAACGTGCTCAGCGTGCACGGCCACACAGCGGCTTTAATGCAATATTCTTCAAAGCCCTCCTGCGGGACTGCGACAACAGTCTCATCACCCGGCGACACGAAAAGCAACACGTGGCGGCATCAACGCGGTCATCCCGGCGGCTGCAGAGCGCGGTGCGTGTACCCGGAGAGAGCGTCCCAGTTTCTCCACAGGAAGGCCAACAGGAGGACGAGAATTAGCGTGGAGAGGGAGCGGGACCGTGTTTTCATCAGGGGGACCACGCAGTTGGCCACAGTTGAGACAAAGACCAGAAGGACGGCCATAAGGGCCAGCAGCACATTGATAAGTTTTCCCAGGAGGGTCCGCGCCGTGGCATTTTCCAGCCCCTCCAACTGGACGACCTGCTGTTGCTGCTGCTGCAGCTCCATCTTAGAGATTCTGGTCTGACATGCTTCCAACGCCTCCTGTAGAGGATGACACACACAAAACAAGTCAGCTACAGTGTGAATGAAAACAGATCAGAACTAAACTGTACACCCAGCAGAATCTACTGCACCTTCATTTAGTGCCTTTAATGTTTGTAGAAAAAAATAACTCACAAAAAAACACTGTTCCCTCAATAATAAAAACCTCTCTAAATGATTCTGACAATATCAACCAAGGCTGTAAATCACCTTCAACCACTTAAATTTAAGATGTTTTGGCTTTTTAATACGTTCCTCCTGTCCACTATCAACGTCTACCACCCCCTGCTGTCAAAAGGAGGTAATGCAGAAGAAACCACTGTGGGCTCAGTCGACACACTTCACACAAAAACATAAGCCTTCACAGACAGCAGGAAGTGATACGTGTAATATGAGACATTTACAAGAAAATTATTATGTTTAGGACAAATAAATCTCATGGACAGACCAGACAGATCTGTCCTATTTACACAGTCAACATCCACATTAAGATGATGCCTTTAAACTGTTTTAAGAGGGCGTGACAACAGTTTTAACATGTCTGATGTTATGATGCAGAGTCTGATTAGCCAATGAGGAAATTGCTCAAAAAACTTGTTTAATTTCTCTTAATAGGACAATGTTGCAGTTATGAAATGAAACCAATAGTAATATGATGGGAGTTATTATTACTTTAGGAATAAAACTTTAATTGACCCCCACATTTATTTTATTTCTGCAGATTTGTTTCTTTGTGGTGCTCGTGAAAACAAGCCTGAAAAACCAACCTGGATGTCCCTGGCTCTCTCATAGGACTGGTAGGCAATCTTCTCCTCCATGCTGGCCAGCTCCTGTTTGAGGTTGAGGATCTCGTTCTGGTGCAGCTCTGTTAGGTCGTTCAACTGTTCCTCCAGGCGTTCACACCTGATCACACACACAAGCAGAGAAAACACATGTTAGAGCCTGTGGCGTAATAAGCTTAGAGTAAAAAAAAAAAAAAAAAAAAACATGCAGGCATTAGCAGATACAGGTCCTGGAGGCATCTGACCACATGACACCTGACTGGACTGATGACTGGAGCTGATAAGATTAGGATGTGCTTTTTCATCTGCTCATCCATCTAACCAATCACAGGTTAGATGGCAGTATGAGACCGGCCAATCATGTGAGACTGGCGTGAGGATGTGTGGTGTGTTTATTTTGCAGTCAAAAATAGAATGTTTCTTTAAAACATACAACGGTTAAATCATTAAAAACGTTCCCTTTCCTCCAGAGTCTTAAAATATATTTGATTTGTTCACTGAGATAAAAGCCAACAAAAACCCCCAAAAGATGTTTTAATTGTAAGTTTGAATTTAGTAAACATCTTATAAGTTACTTATAAAAATAAGTGATAAATGTAAATAAATTTCATTTACATTATTATATAATTTTTGTTCCTGATAAATGTTTTAATAAGACATACGGTTTATAATTATGTTTTATAAATATATTAAAAGCCTGGGGAAAATATGACAACATTTTTTTAATGGTCTTTGCTTCCAAAATTCCTCCAAGTCATACAGACGTGTTTTTTTTTTCCTTTTGGAAGAATTTGTTTTAAAAAGTTTTCTTTTTTTATCTCTTAATTCTCTATTTTACAGCGGTTAATGTTTTTAAATAAATAAATAAATAAATAAAAGACATGCTATATGCAATAATTTATTAGTCATAGTAAGGATGAGCTCAGCTGCAGAGGACCTTCATGGCCAAACATGTTATTTATGAATATGTTTTTCCCATGTGAAGGCAGCAAAGAACTTCATGGACATTCTTTCTTGCTAAAAATAATTTGGGTTTTAGAGGAACTAAGATTAGCTACGCTGGACATTTTAGGAAGAAAAATGTCCAATATTTCTTTATCTCGCTGTCATTCTTGTGCCCTGATGTCAGAACATTCTGGAGAAATGTGAACGCGAATCTCAAAGTCTGAGTTTTACCGTAAGGGCAAAGACGAGCGCTGTGAACTGAAAGCATACATGATGATGTTGGTTAATAGCAGGTCAAGGTTTTGCTTTTTATCTACTGTTTGCCTGCTTTGATAAAAGAGCATGGGTATGGTGCATGCTGCCAGAGATGAGATGTCATCAGGTAAGCTTTGTGATAAAAGTGATTACTCAGGTATGTTTCTAAAAGTAGCCAGTGTTCCTGCTCAGCGCCAACTGTGCTCCCATCTCAGGAATGTATGAAACATTCTGGAAGGTTCTGTGTCTGTTTGTGTACCTGAAGCGTTCCTCCTGCAGTGCTTGCATAACGACAGTGTAGTCCTTCTGATAGTGGCTCTTCAGACTGTCTAGGTTCTCCTCCAACCTCGCCTGACCCTCCCTCAACTCCTGCATCTCCTGTAGCAGCATGTCCAGGCCGGAGCCCTGGCTCCTCTCCAGTGTGTTGCCCTTGGAGCTTGGGGGGCCTCCGGGTGCCCCCGTGGTGCTGTTTGCCCCCGCTGAGCCTGACGTGGCGCTCGAGCAGTCGTCTTCGCTGCCATACCTGGGACTGGACTGGAAGTGGTGGGCGGCGTTACCCAGAGGGCGTCCTCCGCCGACGGTCACCCCGTCTTCCGCCGGGGGGTCGTCCAGCGAGTCTTTGAGCGAGGGGATGTTGTCGGCGCTGCCGTATTTGTTGCGGATGAGCGTGGAGACGACGGCCTCGGCGGCGGAGTGGGTGGCCTGTGAGAAGCTGGAGAGGCCTCCCTTGACGCTGTCCACCACTCCCTCGCTGAACCCGCTGACTTTGGCCCCGACGTCCTTCAGGCCCTGCTGCATGTCCCGCAGGACATCCTTGGGCTGCCGCGGGATGCCGTTGTGCTCCACTTCCCGCAGCTTCCGGTGGTAGTGCTCCAGCTTCCTCTGCAGCTGCTGGATGGTCTGTGCAGACTTCTGATTTTTTTTCTCAAACACCTGCCAGTCACAGAACAGTTTTTAAAAAGAGCATTGTGCGCTTTAATTACACAAATACATTAATATTGCTAGCAAACCACCTCTGAGCTTCAAGGCACAAAAACTGGCAAAACAGGTTTTTTTTTCTGTGATGCAGTGATTGTGAAGCTCGCACTCATAAGCACATTAAAGGTTCTACAGAGAGCCGACTCATTCGTTCTACCTGTTTGATGCGCGTGCTTTGCTGTTTGTCTGCATTGTTGGCAAGTTTGAGGTATTCTGCAACATTATCATCCCTGGCCGTCTGCTCAATCTTAATCTGCTCCGTGAGTTTGAGGATTTTCTGCTGCAGCTGGGCGATAGCCTGCTTGGTGCGCTGAGGGTCCGGCGTGCCATCGTCACCCGCTGGGAATGAACCGTCTGTCCCGCACGAAACAGCGAGGGGTGTTTGTCCCAACCCGCTCACCTCCAGCCGGTCAATCTGAAGCAAAAGATCAGAGAGGGCAAATGACAGCGGGAAGGAAATGAGGAATTTAGCAGAAAAAAAATGGGGGGGGGGGGGGGGGGGGGGGGTAGAGTGGAAAACACACGAGCAGCAAACTGGATTCTTATTCATTTTGCTGACATGTTAAAAAAGTGAGCTTCTGCATTTTTTGAGGCCAGTTGCCAGGAAAGAGGGCAAATTCAGTCATTTGAGCTAAAGGCTACTTACGGTCAGTTCCTTGGAAGTAGAGGACGATAGTTAACTTCTCACTATGGTTTATGAAGAAAAGAAAGCGGAAAAATTACCCAGTAATCCAGAGCTGTCTGGGTCATGTTTAACTGGGAAAACTGTCTGGTCTGTGTTTTTTTTTTTTTTTTTTTTTTTTTTTTTGGTGTGTGTGTGTGTGTGTGTGTGGGGGGGGGGGGTTAGCATGAACATACAAAGAATGAAAAACTGGACTTTGAACTGATTTTGCATATAAAAATATTTGTTCATTTTCTGAAAAATAAAAAAATAAAAAACTGAGGTTTTTTAGCTGCCCCCCTCTCCCCAACACACATACCAACTCTACCCGAGACCATAAACTGACCACCTTCTGAGACAAGCAGAAGTGGTGATTTATTAAAATAAGATGCAAAGAGCTGCCATACTTTAGTAATAAAAGTGTTCATCTGGTCACACAGAAATCACAGAAAAGAAGTGGCTACATACAACAAAACCAGCTCAATATGTCCAAAACATAAAAAAATGTAAACTGAATATGCAACACTCGATTCAACTTAGAACTCACTACTATTGCTTCACCTTAAAAACAAATAAAAAAAAAGAAGAATAAAAAAAGAAAACAGAAAAGCACCAGAGGCTCTGTCTTCTAAGTAGCTATGACTAATTGATGACAGAAAACAGCAGAACTTTCACTACACAAAAGAACAGAAACTCATGAAAAAATAACGTATTCTTATGCTCCATATTTACAGAAGAAACATCCGAGAACAACTCTCGTATTTTGCGACCAAAAACCAAGCGCCAGGTCGCGCTCTCACCTTTCCATTTGTCAAACGGAGAAATTCCCAGTGCATTTTCCTCCCGGAGTGGTGGAGTGTTTACATCTGTCCCGACACGTTGTTTAAACTTTTATTCAGCAGGAATAACACAAACAAATCTCTCTGTCGCACCGAAATGGTGGAAGAGTTTCGCTGGTATCGCTTCAACTCCCCCGACTTGTTTATGAAAAAAGTTTCGAAGCGCACCTGAATCATCTCCCGGGCGAGGCCCCGCCCACCGAGCTGTGGGATGACATCATCTCGTCAGAGTCAGCTGTACCGCACACAGCTGTCACTCACACAGAGCACAAATAGAACTGGGCGGGGAGGTTTCATTCCTCTGGTGATAACTGAGATAGTGAACCCAATCAGGAAGTAAAAGTACCGAACTTTGTAACAGATGATCAGGTCTGACCCCATTCTAAGGATTTGTTATATGTAGAGAAGAAATAGCTATTTCAAATAAAAAGGTACTTCTGGAACAGAAAATAGTTATTTTGTGGGGGGAAAAAACACAAGTAGGTCCTCTGGACGGGTTCTTCTTTAATGAAACGTTTTATCTCTCCTCTAAGAAACTTCTTCGGTCTAAAGCAGGGGTGCCCAAACATTTTCCCTAAGAGGGCCAAAATTAAAATGAATCTGAGGGCCGCGGGCTAAATGCAATACTATAAGAAATGCAAATACTTCTTAAGTAAAGTTGTTTTATTTTTATGATTAAGCTAGCAGCCAGTGTGATTGCCCACATTCTTTTTTATTTATTTATTTATTTTAGAAAATTCAATGTATGCTCAGGCAGCAAAGGCTCATGAAACTATTCATAATTTAAAATTTGAGTATATGTGGTGCAAATCTAGATATGGGTTTAAATCTAATCTAAATGTCTCTTGTAGTGACTTGTATTTTATATTTAATCTGAACATAAATACAATCTAGTAATAAGGACAACTGCTGGTAGGCCAAATCTAATGGTTTGGCGGGACAAAATTGGCCTGCAGGCCCCACTTTGGGCACCTCTGGTCTAAAGAGTTTCAGGTGCTGCCACGTGGTGGGCAAACCCGTCCAGAGGACCTCCTTAATGTTTTCTTTTTGATTGTTCTACCTGGATTACTGAGATGCATCAGGACAGTTATTTTGTGCCCTTTAAGTTAAGATACATAAAATGCACTATGATTAACTAAAGGCCTAGCATTTCATGCCAGTTTTTAAAGATCAGCTTAAATTTAGAAAGGATTGAGTTGCTGTTTTGGTCAAACCTCAAAAATAACAGTATGTGCAATCTGATGCGATATTTTGAGAAGCCACATTCAGAGTGTGTGTTAAATAACTCAGCTACCACAAAAAGAGCTAAAGCCCTTTTTGCATTTTCTAAAATCAACTGGCTGAGGCGGCCATCTTTGTCAGGGTTGATTCCAAAAGTTAATCATCAGTTGCAGACACACAGCCAGTGTATGTCTCATTAAGAATTATGAGATCATTTATAACAGGCAAGAACACACACACACACACACACACACACACACACACACACACACACACACACACAC